ATTCTACGTACTAACAGACACTACAAGATCAAAATTCAGATGTAGATAAAACAAATGAAAAAGATGTAAGAGAAAAAATCCTATTTTCCTTATTTATTGTTCAAGTTATATTGTTTAAGACAAACTGGTGTTCTCTGATGCTACTATTGAGTCTTTACAGAGCGAAATGCCAATTAAATTAATTAAGATAAATAAAAAATCTACTTTTATCCCTTAGCAACGAGTGTGTTGAATGTACCTTTTGATACGGGCATGTGCACTCTATCTTGGCTAAACAGTGAGGATCTTGTGCTTAGCTCCATACCAGATTAACTCCCTTACAATCCCATTACTCACAAAAGACTGAACATGAATCATAACAATTCTTGCAATTCTCAAGATTTCAATAATCTAAATTGGAACACGTCTGCTACCCAGGTTTTAAAAAAAATAAAGTCTAGAAATTCAATCAACGTTGGATAATTTTTCTTTTGAATAAGTATTCAAAAGTTAGCAATCATTTTTAGAAAAAAAAAAACTTCAAGTTTCAATAAAACCGATTTAAGAACTGCTTCCTAGAAATAAAGAAAAATCAACCCCAAGAGATAAACGTATCTATTGGAACGGCATTACGTTGCACTGATATCAGTGCAAATAGTACGTTTGTGCAAAAGCAGGCCAAAAATATTTAAATACTATGGAAACTTCGAGAAATATTTTAGTTTGCACAATTATACTTACCATAAAAATATGATTCATTTGAACTAAAATTAAGTCACAACACATTATGAGCTACAGTCTTAAAGACAGTTAAAGATCGCAAGCTTAAGTATAATGTATAACCTTGTAAGTAAATAACCTTTTTTTTTCAGGAAGATTAGTTGTACGTGTTTTAGGCGTCTTAGGAGACGCTGAATGGAACCAATAGCAAATGGCATGAATTTCGATAGTGAAATGTCTCGAGAGAAAAACAACAAAAAGTGTAAAAACAGTGACCGAATATTAGTTTTTGTCTGTAATGTTTCGTGATTTTAACCCTTGTGAACTTTTCTCTATAAACCTTTGTCACAGGTATTCCAATAACCAGTGCTTACATTTAGGATGGCAAATGATTTTTAAAGTTTTAAGAAATCATGGACCATTACCTAAAACCGAATAAGATCAGTTTTTCACTAGGTGAATTCCCTTCCATATGCTCAAAATTAATGTGTTCTCCGTATTTTATTCTAGCTAGTTAAAGCAGTTTTTAAAATACGTCAAAGATCAGTTTTTCACTAGGTGAATTACCTTCCATATTCTC